CCGCCGTCGTAGGCCACGCGGTAGAGCGCCGCGGAGGCGCCGCGCTCGTCGAAGAAGTCGCTCTCGGCGGCGGAGAGCCAGCCGACGACGACGCCCTCGACGCGCCGCAGGAAACCGTCCTCCGACGTCACCGTGCGGTAGACGCGCCGCCCGACGAAGTCGGAGCCGTCCGTGCGCCAGTCGACCGCCGCGGCACCGTCGGCAGCCTCGGGCGTCGTCGGCGCGTCCGAACCCTGGGCCGCCTCACCGGAGCCCGACGGCTCCGAAGCTGGCTCCTCCATCGACGATTGCTGCCGCGGAGCCGCGGGCTCGGTCGGAGAGCGCGCCGAGGTGAGGGCGGGGCAAATTTAAAAGGCTTCATCCGGGCGCACCTCGCCGCGGAGGCCGCGGACCAGTCGAGCTACCTCAACCAGATTCTCACAAAGCTCTCGTCCCTCAGCCTGCAGGCGACCTGGTGCTTCCTCGCGCGCTGCGCGAGCGCGCGCATGGTCCACATAACCCTCTGTGTACCGACGTGACGGCGCCACTGACTCAGAGTGACTGCTCATGTCCATGCAGCATGGAATGTTGATGAAGTAAAACCTTTTTATCGACCAAGTCGACGGCGAGCTTGAAGACGCCCGTGCTCGTGTGCTTGGTGTCGCTCGACTTGAGCTTTCCTTGAGCTTGTTCTTGAACTCCTTGATCTTGAGCGTCAGGTGCCCCTCGGCGCCGCCGTCCATGCGCCAGTAGGTGATGATCGTTTTCTAACACTTGCGGCGTTGCTCGCGTTACTCCGGGCGTTAAATTGGAACACCGACAATAAATTTCCATCTTACGCATACATTCAACAGGCAATTGTTCGTGTCCTTGGATCGCGGGCGGCCACTGGCACACCGTGACGCGCGAGACATGGACTCAGGCTGCGGCGGTCACGATGATCTTCGTCGCGGTCGCGCCGACCCGTAGCGCGAACCGGCCGAACGAAGCCGCAGACGTCGACATCCGTTCGAATAGGGCGCGGTGCCCAGCGCGGAGCGCGCGCCGCGCGCGACGCCAACTTTGCGTCAAGACTTGATGCCTCCTGTCCTCCCGGGTTCTCCCGTCGTTCTCGGCCGCTGCCGTTTCGAGTGCCCGAGAGCCCGGCTTGTTGTCACGGGGCCGGCGTCCCCTACGCTACCGTGACTTTTATTCGCGACGAACGATTCTTGAACCGTGCTGCCGTGGCGGTTCGTCCGCGGCGCCCTCGGCGGCGGTCATTTCAGCCCCTGTCCGTCGCCGGCCGGGTGTGTCGGGGGGCTCGGCTCCGCGCTTCATGTTCCTCCGTCGTCCTGCCCTGCGTCCTTCCGCAGGTCGGAGTCCGACCCGTTTCGTCACGGGGTCGGCCAGTGCTATGCTACCGTGACCTCCCCACTGTCCAGTCCGTTGTGAGGGGCTGACCGACAGACCTCAACTGGTTCCGCCCTGGGCGGGCGACTCCGGTTACCTGAACACCTCGGCTCTCGGCCGCGTCATCTTCACGATATCCGACCTGATCCGCGTGCGCCGTCGGCCGCCCACGGGCCGCCGACCTAGTCCCACGTTAAAGCACCGATAATAATACTAAAAGACCCGGCGTTGACGGCAGCAGAATTTGGGATCGGACTTCCGCCTTCGCCCGCAAGATGCTAGCCTCCAAAACAGCCCTCCGCACGGGCCGCGCGGCCGGCGTGCGCACGCTCGTGACGTCGTCGGACCTGCCCAACGGCGTGAACGCCGTGTCGACGGCCTTCAACGGCCCCGTGGCCTCGGTCGCCCTCTTCAGCGACCTCGGCACGCGCAGCGAGACGCCGGCGACGAACGGCGCCCTCGCCGTCGTCGCCCAGGCGCGCGCCGCCGCCGCGGGCGCCGCCGTCGCCAAACTCGGCGGCGCCGTCACCGGCGCGGCGACGCGCGACGGGAGCTCGCTCGTCGCGACGGTGCTCAAGGAGCACGCGCCCGCGGCGGCCGCCGCGCTCGCGGCCGCGGCCGCCGAGGCCCCGTCGGCCGCGGCCTTCGAGGCCGCCAAGGCGACCGTCCTCGCCGCCCAGGGCGGCATGGTCGAGGAGGTCCACGGCTGCGCCTACCTCGAGGCGCCCTACGGCCTCCCGGCGAACGGCACCGCCGCGTCGCTGGCGAACGTCACGCACACGGACGCCGCGGCCCTCCTCGCGGCGCCGACGGCCTACACGGCCGTCGGCGTCGGCTGCGACGACCTGGCCGCCTTCGGCGCGCTGCCG